ACAGCACAATTCCTGCTTTACACTCAAATTGAAGTTCTAAAACACATTTTTTTCAAAAACACTACACACAATTCTCTGCATTTGGCACAATTTTCATGAAGAAAATATCTTGTTTTCACAAGGAACACACTGTCATTCAAATATTCTAAAGTTAATTGGCCCTACTATGCACACTGACTCATCACATGGGCAAACACCATTGTTGGTTTGGGATGTACACTGTATACATTGTTTTTGTGGAAAAATAAAATATATTTGTTACCGTGTATTTGTGTGTTCTGAGTATAGAAAACAATATTCTTCAAATATTTTACAACACACTTATGTATGTTCTGTCTGTAGTAAGTGTAACACTGAACAAAAAAAAGGCCTAAAGCCATTATGATGAATGGGAGAAGAAGATGTTTTCCATTCATCATAGTGTTTTACATTGAGCATTAGTGTTCAACCTGGTTCTTATAAATGTCTATTCAATATGATGGTTTGTGTGTGTCATTTGAAAACAAAATATCATTTTGAGAAGAGTAAACATTATTTTGAATGTAAAGTTTCATTTTGCAGGAGAATTAAGGGGTTTGCCCATTGTGTGTGTTATTTTGGATTTGCGTGTGGAGTTCTGAGAGTATGAGGCATGCTTTCAGAAAATGTGTGTAAACAATCCAGAAAAACTGTAAGTGTAGCCTTCAGTACATGTCATCTGCTGGCACATACTGCCACCAGCTGGTGTCCATATGCAACTACAACAAACAAACTTATTATGGCCTATTTGATTTAAAATACTTATTTGGATTTGCATTTACTACAAGTCTACCGAAAATGCACTAGATTAAAACAACCAATCAGAGCTGAGAAAAATACATAGTCACTTTGGGTTGGAAGCTTGAAGATAGCTGATGCTGAGTCTCATTCCCAGGGACCCAAAATGTCTGTATTTGATGTCCTGGGAATGAGACTCAACAGTCAACTGTTTCAAGGCTCTGATTGGTTGTTTTCATTCAGGCCCGGTAAATTCTTACAAATACCATTAGGAGCACTAGGAGAAGCCAGAGGAACCTGATTTTTTTTTTTTTTACAGATGATCTGTTTCATGTATTACTGTCAGGATATAGTGAAAGTTTCAGTAAATATGACAAAAGGTTATTTTTTTTATAAGTTACCTACTGCAGCTAGTTATTATGATTCATTATTATAGTGTTTTTCTACTAATCTGTATATACATATATTTTACACTTTCTTTGACAATGTAAACATCTGTTTCAAATAAAGCCACTTTGAGTTTAACTGAATTGAAAACTACAAAGTAGATAAAGAGGCACACTAACTTAACCAATAAGCTGCAGGTTATTCTACAGGTCTACATTATGCAAAGCTCTGTGTAGCATATAGTAGCAGTGCAATAGAGCAAATAGATCATCATATTTAAACTAAATGCTGGGTAATGTGGTTCCATGTAACTTCCTGCACATGTGCACCACAAACCCATCAGGCACTAACTGAAGAATAAGTGCAATGGTAGTAAAACTGATATATTTTCAAATAGTCTTTGGTGTAAACTGCAGATTCTGAGAGTACATTATGTCATGTAGCTACCTGTAGAACAGAGTTACAGCAGTTAAGGCGGTTCCAGCACTTTGGATAGAGAAGTTTAAGCACTTCGACGGCCTGCAATAAATATCTAAATGCGCATTGCTTCCTGAACAGATACATTCTTTAAAGGCTGCAACTGACAGCTTCTTTTAATCAAAAATGCCACTTCCTGTTTCTCTGTGTTGTCTCATGTAAGTAATGACAACTTCATTTCTATAGCACAGACAATATAACACCACAGAATAGACAAAGAGGCCATGTGGTCTTTGGTGTTACTGTTATGATTGTAATCTGAATATATTTGGGTTCTGGACTGCTGGTCACACAAAACAAGCAGCATGTCACCTTGGAATTACCTGCTTAGACAGGTGTTTGGGTAACCTGTATGCACCATGTCTGCACTTTATGGATTTATTGTGTATTTTTATTGCGTTTTTATTTCATTATGTACTTTGCCTCCCTTCTTGATTGCTGTATATTGTCTCTGTAAAGCACTTTGTGACTTATGTTTATGTCAGTCCCTATAGGATTGTTGTGGCATAAAATTCCTGATTTTACAGCAGCTTTTCAAAAAAAATGTGTAAAGAAACGTATTTATTTTTGATGAAATTGGGTGAAGAAAAAACCTACTGTGGCTTTAATGCCTACAATTAGCCAGAGCCTATGGCTGCCTCCGACTCGCATGTTTTATCCAACCAACAGTCTTGAGGACGGACTTGATTCCTGACATTTTTGGCTTGTGAGCCTTAAAAACAAGGCTGTAACAGGTTGCATATGTCTACAATTTGTGATTCAAGAGTTACCAGTATTTATTTTTATTTTTTTAAAGAAAAATGATTAGAATAATTAGAGAGAAAAAATCTAATTTGTGTAGCAGAAATGTGTTTTTTCTTGACACGTGTCACTAATAACACTAGCTCTGTTCTATACAGCGAAACAGCACACCAGGACCCTGAAACTGAAGCAGCTAAATGGAATTCATTCCGGTTTTTTAATCACACCTGTGCTTTTCTGTCAAAATGTCCTCTGTGAAAATGGTCTTGTCATTCTTGTCAATTAAAATTAAAATTAAAATTTTAGCTGATTAGTCTAATTGACTAAAGGGCTACATTCTTTTTTATGTAGTGTACTGTAGTGACCCATTTGTTAAATTCCCTGATAATTAATAGATATAAAATTAAAGATAATTAAATTCCCTGACAATTAATAGATATGTTTGCAAACACAACTACAACCCCCCACCCCTAGAGCTGTGTGCCTAACGGCTTTCTTTCCTTTAGAACCTGTTGTTCTAAACCTGAGCTGTTAGCTCTCAACAGGTGGTATGGCCTTTGGAGAAGTCTTGCCAAATGTCCATCAGCTGTGACGGTTTAAACTGGTTGACGATGATCAGTTTGGCAAAAGTGCACCTGTTGTACTCCAAGTTTCTGATTTCAAACAGATTCCTGAGGGTCAGCAGGCTGTAGGAGTACACCGGTCGGATGCCCAGCACACGCAGACACAGCCCCACGTAGACGTCCTCCAGGGGGATCGCCCGGACAAAACTGGACGCCCAGGAGATCCTGGCGGCCAAGTCTGCAGAGAAGACGTACCCTGCTCCGGACACATACGGGGGGAAGGTGTCCTCGGGGTACTGCTCCTCTGACAAGTGCCATTTGCTGTTACTCTCCCTCCTCGGGCTGCCGTCCCTTATTACGGACCCCGTGATGAAGCCCTGCCGGGGGGAGCTCCTCAGTTGTCTTCGGAGGTAGAACACATTTACAAAGATGTCAGCATCCACCTTCATGGCGTAGGAGGCGTTTGGACAGTGGGTCGCCAGCCAGTTCATCATCATCAAGGTCTTGAGAGTCAGGTTTTGGTAACTGTCCTCAAAGTCCATCTGGACAATGTCTGCATGTCTCCTGCTCTCCTCCACCAGCTTGTCCTGGACGCCGGACACCTGGCCCCCCTCTGGGAGCCCCACATAGAACAGAGTGAGGGTGTCCTGACTTGGAGCCCCCCATGTTTTCCTGATGGCCTCCCTTGCTGCAGACTCAACGGGAGCAACAGGGACCATAAAAACCAGGAAGGGGCTTGTGTCCTGGCAGACAGCAGGCTGGTTGAGAATATAATGGTATGTCTGAGGAGAAATGAGCCTGTAGTCCTCCACGGGGAGGGGGCTGGGCTTTGGCGGATGTTTACCCACTAAGACGAGAGCGGACAGAACGAGCACAGCTGAAACGGTGAGTAACTTAACTAACCTCCAGGAATAAGTTCTCCTCATTGCCCCAAAGTGTCCTGTCCGCTTTGGACTCCGGCCCTGAATCCGAACCGAGCGGTAAACTACGGAAAGTCCCACGGTGTTAACGTCCAGCGGCCACTCCCAGCAGGGAGAACCAGGAAGTTCTATCCAGCCAAAGACGGAGAGGTGCGAGATATCCGACTGAAGCAGAGCCAGCGGCAGAGAGGGACAGCGCTCCTCGGTGTTCAAGATGTTACAGACCTTCGTTGTGATTGGTGGGTTTTACAATACGTATTACAGAAGGCGGGACTTCAAGTAGAGCAGACAGGTTGTCAGCAAAGACTCACCGCATATGGAGGTGAGCTGAGGGCTCAGGCTGCACTAAGGCAGTTGAACCAACTCAGATTTAACCCGGGGTTATCAGGGAAAGTCCGGGTTGACAGACTGATTGATACCCTGGTGTTAAACGGTTCTGCGGCGGTTATCAAGATGTCACTTAACTGAGTGGGGGTCAACTTAATCTGTGTTCTGTGTTGCATAAAATGGCAGTTTTGGCAAAGCAAGAAGAGTTATTTCCTAATGGCTGGTGCCCTGATAATATGAGGATATGAGGAGTTTAAATAAAGTGAACGTATTGTGGCCAACACAGGGACAGGGAGGCTTGTTGGCAACGCACTGTCAATAGAGTAAATTCATAAGTAACATTACAGTGTTGATGTCGTAGGTTCTCTATTTTTTCACTTACTTTGTGATATGATTGAATACCCCAGCGGTAAACCAAGATTAAAGTGCTAAATTCAGTGCCAAAATATCTCAGAAAATTAACCATTAATGAATTAACAGGAATTAAAGCAAGAAAGTGAGCCTGGACCAGAGTTATCCAGAGGAAACGTGTATAATGTATTGAATTAAGTATTATGTGGATTTAAAACTGCTCTATGGCTGAAAGACCTTTAAACCCTGAATTAAAATCTACTCCCTAAAGCACAGAGGCTAAATGTAATGCTACTGATATAAGTGTACCCTCTGGGTTCCTCTGCTCATAAAGTGTTTTGTATTCAATGTATGTATATTAAAAGTGAGTGAATGTATTTCTATACTTTTTAACGATTGAATGGGAACATAACGGATGCATTCTGGGCCTAGAGGTTTGCAAAGATACTGAATTCCCTCAGATTAGAATGGATATCTTTATAGAGATCATCATCATCATCATCATCATCATCATCATCATCATCATCATCATCATCAAGAGAAACTAGAGGATTTTGATGGTCTCTGAACACCCTCGCCCTCCACAGTGAGCCTCTCACAGTTTGTGTACCAATGACTTTTAAATGTGCTGCCATTTTTCTCCACAGATTGTGGGTCACTTTTTTTCCCTTTATCAACAATTAAGCTACAATGACAAACTTACTTGGCACCATCAAAAACATTTTTTTCCATCATGGATTATATATTATTGTATTGCAAAAGCAGTTGTGCTTAACAGGTTAATAGTTAATATTTAGCGATCATGCAAGACCTCCACAGGCAAAAGGTGCTCTGTTTTTACATTAGTGTTGCACAGGTAAGAGTTAATACATTAAATTTAAATCTGGTTCTTAGGAATTCATTTGAAGGAAGTTTAGTCAGACAACTCACGTTTGAAATGTTTATTACAGCAGTATAGCATATTTAGATTTTGGCGTCTAGAGATGCTCTGTCTAATTCACTCCCCGCACCCGCAGATATGTTTACATAGAGATATTGGGGAGTGATGCACAAATACCTTAACCCCCAGTCGGAGCCTACAGGTGGATGCTGGGGTGGCGCAGCAGGCAGCAATAGTTTACAGAGCAGCAGCGATGTGATACAATGCAACAGTGGCATTGACAAAGCAGGGGGAGAGCTGGGAAATTTTGCAGATTAAATAGACTGCCAGATTGAAAGGGTGCACTTGGTTGGTGATTATGGAATATGTCATGTGTGTATAGCAGCGCAGCTCGAGTTGACTGCCTGAACTAGCTCGCAGGCTTCGCTCCATTCTTGTAAGTCTTACCTTATTGACTACAGTCATGTAAACTTGCATTTCTGCAAACATTTTTCAAACACTGTTTTAGAGTATACAGAGTGTCAGTGATCAGCCTTCGGTTTCCATCAATATCCATACAATGTTTAAAAATCCATTTACTGTCATTCTGTGCTCTCAACCATATATACGGAATACTTTTGAATATTAACTTATAGATTTTTAATATTGTGCAAAATCATTAGAAACCAGTTGAAGCCAAAATGGTAAATATTTAATTCTGAAACATGACTTGAAAATGAGCTTGCTGTAGTGCAAGGCAGTAAATAATCTCACAGCTGCAGTAATCAATATTTTTGTATTAACAATGTGTTGTTCAGACCTAAATCTGCAGTTCCCCTCAGCTCTACCAGGCATTTTAGCATCTTTCAGCTCATTGTTTCGATTTTACAGCCCACTCACTCTTACTGCTTTCAGAGCATTGTTTCCAGTAGCAGCAGGCAGCGGTTTCAAGGAGAAAGTCAAAAACAACTGTACACTTTCTGAATAACACCAAATGGCAATTTGGCTAAAACATCATTTTCATCACTAAATTTGATCATATACCTGTAGTGAGCGTATCAAACCCTAACTCTAAAAACAACCATCAACAATTTCCACAACTATTTTCAACCATTCGCACATTGGTGCGTGGCTGGCTCTGGTGGGATTCAAAGTATTAACCCCCGGCAGTGTTTGTGCCAGCCTCCGCTCACCAGACTCCACAGGAGCACAACCAAGGCAACCTTCTCAGCTAGTAAACCTCTCCTTCTTGCTTCCTGAATTCCACATTGCAGCGTGGGCGGTCACTCCCATCGCATAATCTCACGTAAGTCCACTAGCTTGACATTTAGCCCTCTATGTGCAGGTTTGCTTACTGTTAGTGCAGTAGCAGCTGTCTGTGGACGTATAAACTAGCTAATAAAGAAGACCCCTCGGTGAAGGCGCAATAATAAACAGCAAAAGCTCGTCCTGCTGGGAGAAGAACAGCAGATCAATAAGGTCAATTGAGTCGGTAGAAAACTCTGAGCTGTTTTGATCAATCCACCTTTGAAGCACCTGAGACAATTTCTTAATTCTCAACGATTTTCTTAGATTCTCAGTGTGTGTTTGTATGCGTGCTCAGGGAAAAGCGATGTGCATCCGATAATGAACTAGAGGAATCCCACTTCACTGGAGAAAGACACAACATCAACAGTCCACGTACATTTGAGAACAGAATTACTGCATTATAATTAGACTGTTAGAGCAATTTTGGTTTACAACATGACTGTGGGAGTCTCTCTTACTGTATCATTTAACACTGCTTCATCTGGCCTATCAATACGCATCAACATCATCTTCCCCCATTGTGACCACCAACCTTTACAGAGTCACAATTGAGCTTTCCAGCACCATTCTTTATTTCTAGTTTAGTGAAATCCATTAACTTACATCTTTCTGACATTGTCATCTACATACCTCCGGTGCACTGCTTATGCTAATCTAAAGCCTGCATGATTTACAATACAATTTGAACTTTGTCCCTTCTAAGTTCTGAAATCTACTGTAGTTACACTACAACCCAGCACTATGGATAAAATCCACTATCATAGTTTATCTAACTTTATATTGAGATACTATTTATTGTGATTTTCTAAATTATCTTAAAATTCAATTCAGTTTCTGGATAAAATAATCAGACTGGAATGACTGTTTTTAACTAATCCAAAAAAATAAATACCTGACAATCCAAGGCACTTTTCATCATATTGATGCAAAAAGATAAACAAAAAAATCCAATATTGCCCGCAAACAGCCCCGCTCACTGATTTGCAGTGTTTTCCAATATAACCTACCACAGGATAAGCGGTATTAAGTCTTGGTTCATCCTTAATATATTGCAGTCAACATCAAGGACTTGCTTGACATGTTTGCTTTGTCTGGCTGATTTTCATTTTCATTTTAGATGTCTATAGATTAGCCTACTGTTTGATGTGATGTTACCAACATTTCCCTAATATTCCCCCAAGATTCAAGAGGTTTAATATCATATGATAATAAATAATAAAATAAATATTAATGATACTGATGGAGGAGCAAAGCTACATGTTGAAGCAAGGAGCTTAGATAAAGTTTTTACGCATTGCAATCTGTTGTACCTGCTAGCACTATAACTCTAAACAACCTACTTTGAGGACATATCACAATTTCATTGTGCATTGTGCAATTTTTGAGTGCAACACTCAGGCCAATAAGGTGTAATTATTTAGGCTGCAGAACTTATAAGACATTATTTTCATCATTTTATACGCATCCGAATGTAAGTCAGCATCACATACTTTGAAAACCCTACAAAAATTGACTAGGATTTTAAAAATAGAATTGTGTTTTATTAGATCTATCATTTTCAATAATAGACCTGCCAATGGATGGAAGAGGCGAAAACTGTGTATGTATTTGTAAAACTTGTGATCTATTTCTTTCAGCTCTGCCAAGATTGTAGCTCGTGTCACATTTCTGCAGATAAAATATCGTCAACTGAGTATTGAACATGAATATATTTTTGTAACTTGATCAACCAGATTAATAGTTCTCATTGAAAAATTGAGAGCAACTGAATTTACACCACACTACTAATGACACTCACTCATACTGATGTGAATATAAGTTACATACTATACATTGACTATAAAGCATTACAAATTACAACAATTTAAATGCTGTATGTTATACTGTGATGTGTTTACAGCATGCGTAGAAATGGATTATTTTCAGCTCAAAGCACAGTGACCACATTAAAATCCTATATTGTGCTCAGTAGAAAGGCATCAAACACTACTAATCAACAGAATGTCTTCAGATCCGTCCACAGCAATCACAGAGATGGACGAAAGTGGCTATGCAAAAGATGAAAGCAGAGGAACAGAGGGGGCAGGAGGTGAGCTGGTTAGTAATGTGATGGAGCCATGACGGCGCTCTGAGGTACCCGGGTGAAGCTACGGTGTCTGGCTGGTGCCTTAATTAGGCCAAATGACTCCTTCAAAAACTCATTAATGCAGCCACTCAGCATGACCCCCACTGGGCCTCCAGCGGTTTGGACCTGCCACATGAGACCGATCTGTTGGTTTTACGCTCTTTGCTCTGTTCCACTGAAATTATGGAGGAGCAAAGCTACAGGTTGAAGCAACATTGAGTTGCATTAAAGCTGTGTTTGAATTGTTTTAGTTAGTAGTCAGCGGATTAATTAATAGGAAAAATGTAATCGAGTGGAAATGTATGAAACAATAGGTAAGATAAAGAATAATGAATTCATTTTAGCACTTAAATGTAAGAGCGTACACAGCCACAGAGCACCTCGCTGCTCTGAATTGACTCTTCCTCATGACAGTGTTTTTTTATTTTATTATTTTAGTTCATTTAACTAGGACTCAAGTGTCAACTGTACGAAATAAAAAGCAATCTATGTATCTGGGGGAAACAAAAATGTTTAAGAATGCTACATAAACTTACGCTGCCTGTGTACATATCTTAAATAAATCTATAATTGT